CACTCACCAAAGTAGGATGCAGAACATTTTCTTAATAAGCTTTGTTATGCCAATTGACCTAGATGTCCCCTGAAAGCATGGTCCCCAGATCCCTACCCCTGCTACTCTGTCCCTTCAAGTGTTTAATTGTATTCAGGAAAATTTTAAGCTTTGGTTTAGTCCAGTTGTGCTGACTACCCTGTAGTGTGTGCTGTCCTTCCCTTCACCTAAGATAATTCTTGTCTACTATCTAATCCTTTCAATACTTTTAAAGGGCTATTTCAAATATGTTGAAAAATTAGACTTGAATGTAAAGTGAGGTAAACTTCTTAGTACTTTATCAGTAATTTAAGAAAATAACTTTTAAAAACTGTATCTGTTATTATAATAAAAATATTTCTTATAAAAATTAAAAAAAAAAAAGAGACTAAATGGCCACACCAGCCCAGGAGCAAGGACGGAAGGCAGGAGGAGACAGGAAAGCTGGTAACGGAACACGAGGTTGAGAAGGAGAAAGTGTTGACATGTCATGGGGGTGGCAACCAATGTCACAAAACAATATGTGTATTAATTGTTTAAGGAGAAACTAATTTGCTCTGTAAACCTTCATCTAAAGCACAATAAAAAAAGAAGAAAGAAAGAAATGGTTATGATGTGTCACAAAGCTGTCTTTTTTTTTTACCGTGGTGAAAAGTACCCGCAACAAAACTATGCCAATTCAACGATTTTTACATGTATAATTCAGTGACATTGATTATATTCTTCAAGTTGGAGCATGTCTTTTAAATAAGATTCATATTTGCTTAATAAGCACTTTGGCTAAATGATAAGCTTACCTTGCCTAAACTACATAGCAGAGTATATTTAAAAGGTGCGGAAATATTCAAAAGGTTCATGTCTCCTTTTGCCATTCATGATTTTAGAAAAGGTTTTTTAAACCATACTTGCCTTCCTTCTGGAGAGCACCAGGTGGACCTCTTATCTAGATTAAGTAAAACAAACAAACAAACAAAAAACCAAACCCATTGCCGTGGAGTCAATTCCGACTTATAGCGACCCTATAGGACAGAATTAGAGCTGCCCCATAGGGTTTCCAAGGAGCGGCTGGTGGATTCAAACTGTCGACCTTTTGGTTAGCAGCTGAGTTCTTAACCACTGTACCACCAGAGCTCCTTTTCTTTTATTCAGACAACGCTTTTACTTAATCTGGGGCTCTGGTGGCACAGTGATTAAGCGTTTGGCTGCTAACCAAAAGATGGGCAGTTGAAATCCACCAGCCGCTCCTTGGAAACCCTATACGGCAGTTCTGTTCTGTCCTATAGGGTCACTATGAGTTGAAATTGACTCAACAGCAATGGATTTTTTTAAATGGAAGAAAAGTAAGTTAATGAATTTATGCTGATAATTTTCATCCATTTAGTCTCTGTGTGGCACAAAAGACTCCCTACTTTTCACTAACAAAAAATTAAAAAAAGAAAAAGAGGAGCCATAAACCAGTACTGGAGAAAGATGTGAGAAGCAGCATACAAAGAGAAAGAGGGATGTTACGCTAATAGGAAGCTTGCTTGTTAATAATAGATTCAGCTGATGGTGAATTTAAGTGAAGCTGGTTTCTAAGGCGTTCTTGATGCTCTAAATATTTTGTTCCTTAGCAAAACAAATCTCTTCTTGCTCTTCAGATGATGGTTCAGTTGGCCTAATCAACAAAATGTCCGGCTTGGAAAGGGTCCTTGTCCACATGTCACTGGGTCCATCCTTGGTCCTCCCTGCAGGGGTAGCCTGCCCAGACCACATGTCCTCTGCACTAAGGCATGCCCTGGCCCTGAGGAGAAGGGCCTTGTGATTGGCCAGCTGCTCTGCCTGTGCATGGTGGTTAACTTGAAAGGAAGCCCTATCTTGGCCCTAGATCTGAACCTGGTTTTCCAATCAAGCTTTATCAGTATTCAAATATTAGGGATATTTGAATCCCTAAAATAAGTAAGTAAAACAGTACATGTCAGGAGGTAAGTTGTAAATCAAAAGAGAAAATATTTGAAAGTTGTATAATTGAATCAGAATCTCTGGGAGTGGGGCCCAGGCATTGATATTTTTAAAAGCTCCATGGGTGATTTTAAAGTGCAGTCGGACTTGAGAATCTATTTTCTATACTTTACTGGATTTAGGGGATACAAATGGTGAAAGCACTTGATTGCTAATTGAAAGGTTGGAGGTTCGAGTTCACCCAGAGGCACCTTGGAAGAAAGGCCTGGTGATCTACTTCTGAAAAATCAGCCATTGAAAACCCAATGAAGCATAGTTCTCCTCTGATACACATGGGGTCACCATGAGTGGGAACTGACTCAGCTGCAACTGTTTTTTTTGTTGATCTTTGATAGTGGCTTACAATTCTCTGTATTGTACTAAACCAAAAAACCAAGCCCAATGCTGTTGAGTTAATTCCAACTCGTAGGGACCCTATAGGACAGAGTAGAACTGCCCCATAGAGTTTCCAAGGAGCACCTGGTAGATTCAAACTGCCAGCCTTTTGGTTGGCAGCTGTAGCTCTTAACCACTATGCCACCAGGGTTCCCTATATTGTATTAGGAACATTCAAACTCCTTTCTAGTGATAGGTGAAGTTGGATTTGGAGCCTCTCAGTGTACTTTGGCAGTGTCTTGGCCTTCATTCTCAGTGCTCTCACAACCTTTTGGGCATACACATTTCTATTATGACACTATGATAATTATTTTTAAAATTCTGTTGTGTGCTCTCCTGCCTGACTAGACCGTGAGTTCTCGGGGATAAGGATCTTGTTCTCCTCTTCGTTGTTTCCCGGCGCAGAGTGCAGTCTCTGAAACAGAGATGCTCCGTCTTTTTGGATGTAATTCTGTACTGTAAGAGACTAGATTTAGAACTGTGGTTCTCAAATTTGATTTGCATAAGAATCACCTGGGGATAGGGTCTAGAATTTGCATTTTTAACAAGTATCCCAGGTGATTCTGATGCAGATGATCCTCAATCCATTACTGATACTTCGAAAATCTCTGATTTATAGGTGCAAAATATTCGACAATAACCAAATAACATTTATGTAACAAACGCTTATTATACAACAGTTATTTCTTGCCTGGCACTGTTGTAAGGAATTTACAAATATTAACTTATTTAATCTACATCTCAACCATGTACGGTGAAAAGCATTATTACCTCGTTTTTATAAATTAGTAAATAAGCACAGAAAGTCTAATATACTTGCCCAACTGCCTACAGCTATTAGTGGATTTGGACCTAAGCATTCTGACTCTGAGGGGCCCCGGTGGTATAATGGTTAAACACTAGGCTACTAACCGAAAGGTTAGCGGTTCGAACGCACCTAGTGCTCTGCGATCTGCTTCCCTAAAGATTACAGCCAAGAAAACACCATGGGGCAGTTCTACTCTGTCACATGGGGTCGCTCTGAGTTGAAGATTAATAGCACCCACCAACCTAACAATTCTGACTCCAGCAGCTGTGCTCTTAGCTGTAACCCCATAGTTCCCTTTCACTGATATGTGTAAGAAAACCCACATTATTTCTACCTTTATTTTTGCTGAGCCCTTCTAAGGAGCTTGAAAAGAAAAGAGGACTACATTACTGCAATAAACACACAGGAGATATTTTATTAGCTTCCAGACGGCGAAAAGGTAGAGTAAAAACATTTCAATAGATATCCACCGCTCTCCGCAGAGAGCCCACTCTGGCACTCACGGCCCGCCAGTCATGATATCGCCTATACTCTCCTGGCCTCAGCAGGTACTGCCGCCCCTGGAAGTTGGACATCTCATAGAGGACCCAGTAGCCCTCCAGCACATTGAAGGAGTGGATCTCATTAAAGTGGAAGCGGTCATAAAGAGAGGAGCAGTCTTCAGTGAACTCTACCATCTGGCCTCTGTAGTCCTCTCGCTCATAGATCCGGATCCTGTAGGAGATGGTCTATGGATTCAGCAAACAACAGAAGAGGATAAGTGAGAAAATTTGACCTTATTTTAGCAACCAGGCATACACACTGCTGGGGAATTGTCATTTCCTTATCTTTTCTAAATCAAAGGTGATCAAATTTAAAGAAAGAGACTGTCAACACCAGGGCTGCTCTGTATAGTTGTATAGGTTGTACACTGCACAACTCTTGAGGCACCATTCACATGGACCAGTTTTCTGGTGCCACAACCTACATGAACCATAGGCACCAGCCCCGTTCAGTACCATTCTAAGTAACTATTTTAATATATTTGCTTTGCTCTCAAATTCATAGATTTATGGTAATCCTGTGCCCTTCTTGGGTAATATAAAAATAATTAGCTATAAAAATAAAAAGACAAATGGATCCCTGGAAAAAGAGATTTTGAATCTCAGTACATTAGAAGTCAGGGGCAGATGAAGTCAAATTGCTTTCCCCAAAGTGAGGCCACAGATTGTTAGCAATTTAGAGAAAGAGTCCATCCCAGGAAATCCCTTAATCCTTTTCTGCTTTAAGCCCTGCCACTCTAAAATCCCAAAAAGCAAGAGCCAGCATAACAATTAGGTTTCAGTTCTCGGCTCTGGTATAGGCTCCTGCAAATCTGTTTTATGTAATAAATAAACACGGAAGTTCAGGATCATGAAGGAGGTCTATACAGGATCAAGGGAATATAAAACCTTTAGAAAAGTGGAAAGGTAGGCTCTTGGTCTTGGGAAAACCCTGTCTCTCCGTTCTCCAGCACTTGTTCTTCCTTCATCTGCTTGTTGCTTCCCATTGCCTCAGTGTCTTCCCTCTTGAACCATTAAAACTTTCTTTAGGAAAGATTCTCATAAGGAATTCATTCTGGGATTAAAAAACTGCTAATAAGGTAACTTACACCGGGGTAGCGTTCCATGGTTTGCCAAGGACCATTGTGTATGTTGTTTTCTAGTTTGGTCTTCCCAATAGCCCAGCATATATATGGAGCAACCATTATATGCCTTCTCTTCTTTTATGAGAAAATTAATGATCAGAGCTTACAATCTGGAATTAGAAGAATCAGGGCTGGAAGTGGAAATCCAGGTTTTCAGGCTCCTAATGCCAGTGTGGGTCTTATTAAGTTATTAAACCCTCTAAGGGGATTTCAAAGTTTACAAAAGTGCTGCGTTTTCCACAGGACTCTGCCATATTCAAATGAGAGAATCTCTAACTGTTGAATTCCAGGCTATGTTAGGGCCCCTGGTGGTGAAAATGGTTTGTGCTCAAACACCAGCCTAAAGGTTGGCAGCTTGAACTCACCCAGTGGCAAAAAAGGCCTGTGGAAAAAAGGCCTGGTGATCTTCTTCTGTAAAGATTACAGTCAAGAAAACCCTATGGAGTCCTTCCACTCTGTAACACATGGGGTCGCCATGAGTTGGAATTAACTTGACCACAATGAGTTTGTTTTTTGGGTGGGATTTTATTTGGTTAACAGTGTGGCTCTGCAGAGGCTATTGGAATCACATTGTTAGTTACCTGATTTGCCTAATCAAAAGGTAGGACTTGAGAGACACTTAATGTTCATAGTAATAATTAATACTTTGGGGGGGGGTGGCTTGGCATGTGCCAGGTTCTCTCCTTCTATTCTCATCACAACCCTGTGAATTAGCCACTGTTTTAGCCCCACTTAACAGGTAAGGGAAGTGAGGAATAGCCTAAGTAAGTACAGGAAGGCCACCTGATAGGGAGGGAGTTCAAATCTGTTGCTTATTCATCACCAGTGGCATAGACGCTCTGAACTATTATAATGCACCATCTATTCCCAGGAGCAAAGTAAAATAAAATAAAATTTCCAATTAAACGCATTGTATCCTATACTGTTTTGGTAAGATGTTAAAAAAAGGAAAGAGAATATAGCGACAGCCAGAAAAACAAAGGCTACGATCCTGTCGCCTATGATAGCATAATACACCTTGACCATTGTTTTGACTCCACTGCACCGAAAGGCCAGGGTGGAGCTGGACTCACCTGGGGGATGAGGTGGCAGGAGCGGATCGAGTCGCTAAGGCCCATCCACTGCTGGTAGTCGGGGTACTCGCCTCGGCGCAGGAAGTACTGGCAGCCCGAGTAGTTGGGCTGCTCATGGAGCATCCAGCAGCCGCTTTCCACACGCACCGAGTTGCAGCGGCTGAGGTAGGGCTGCAGGTTGGAGTGGTCGCTGCTGCACTCGTAGGAGCGGCCCTGGAAACCCCGGTCCTCATAGAAGGTGATCTGCAAGGCAAGAGGAAGACAAGGCTCAAAGTCCTGGCTCCCAGGTAGCGTATGCCAACGACCCTCACCGGGCCACCCCAGTTGGCTCACCTTCCCCATGGCTGGTCGGGTGGATGGCAGAGTTCAGTGTGATCGGCCGCAGTGTCGTGGGTCTATATAGCAAGAGGGCTGCTGCGTTGGCAAGAACAACAAAAAAGGGGCCCGAGGGGGCGAGTAAAGGGATTTTCTCTCTCTCTTCTTTTTATCTATGTAATGACTGTGTGTGGGGTGGGTATTGTATGCTGCCTTTTAGACTCTCCAGAGCTTTCTAATTGATGACTGCGGTTGAAATTGTCACTTGGTCCCACCCGAGGTTTAAATGAGGCCAATTTGGGATATTGGAATTGAACAAAAGTGCTTAACCAAATAAATAATTGTAATGAAATATTTTATTTATCTTTTTAGATTTCAAAATAATGTATTTTTGAGTAATAACTCCGTGTAGCAAGCAATTCTGAGGTTTAGGTTAGAGAACATGTTCTTGGTGTGAAAATGAAGAACATCAAGATGCATTTGCCTTCTCTGCATAATGTTTAACGTGGAATGATGCCACTTGTATTATTACCTGTGACATTAGAATTGAACCTCAAGTGCATCTACTGTAAAATAAATTATCTAGGTGTTATGGATTAAATTGTGTCCCTCTCACAAAAAAAAAAAAAAAAAATGTGTTGGAATCCTATCCCCTATACTTATGGAAGTAATCCTGTTTGGAAATAGGGTTTTCTTTGATATTTAATTACATCATAACTGAATGAGTTGGTGCTAAATCTTATTACTTCTGAGTTACAAAATAGCAGATTAAGCACAGAGATACATTGCAAGGAAGAGAGATAACATGTGAAGCTCTCCAAGGAACCAAGGAATGCCCAGGCCTACTGATAAGGAAGGAATCAACATAGCCAAGACCCTGATTTGGACTTCTAGCTTCCAAAACTGTAAGAAAATAAATTTGTGTTCTTTTAAACCATCAACTTGTGGTATTTCTGTTATAGCAGCACTGGGAAACTGAGAATTTGATACTGGAGATTGAGGGTGCTCCTCTCATATATAACTAAAATGTGGAAGTTGTTTTGGAATTGGGCAATGGATAGAGGCTGAAGGAATTTTTCCCCCTAAATTTTATTTATTTTGCTGTTGTTGTTGAGAATATACACAGCGAAACATACACCAGTTCAACAGTTTCTACATATACAGTTCAGTTACATTCTCACTCTCCTTTTCCATGTTGTTTTTCCCTCATTAACATAAATTCACTGCCCCCTAAGGTTCCTATCTAATTTTTTTAGTTGCTGTTGTCAGTTTGATCCCATACAGATAGTTCTTAAAAGAGCATAATGCTCTTTTTACTAGTTAAGCTGAATTATTGTTTGGTTTTAAGATGACTTCTGGGTATACTTTTTGGTTTAAGGGTTAAAGATTATCTCAGGGCAATACTTTCAGGGGTTCATTCACCCTCCATGGCTCAAGAAAGTCTACAGTCCATGAGAATTTGACATTCTGTTCTGCATTTTCCCCCTTTTGATCAGGATTCTTCTATGGAATTTTTGATCAAAATATTCAGTAATGGTAGCTGGGCACCATCCTGTTCTTCTGGTCTCATGGCAAAGGAAGTAGTTGTTCATGGAGGCAATTAGCCACACATTCCATATCCTCCTCCTATTCCTGACTTTCCTTCTTCCTCTGTTGCTGAGGCTGAAGGAATTTTGATGTGTTTGATAGTAAGAGCCTAGACTGCCTTGAACAGACTGTAGAATTATGGACATTAAGGATGATTCTGATGAGGGCTCAGAAAGATTTAAGAACTTGGAGGAAAGCTTCTGTCACCATGAACAGAATGTTGCAAGAAAAGCAGACATTTCCATATTTTTATGCAAATAACACATACCTTCTGTGCTTGTTTGCTGGCTGTACCCTCCGCCTGTGAGATATTTTCATAAGCATGCCATGCTTTTTTTTTTTTTTTTACATCAATATGTGGAAGAAGATTGGCATGCCAGTGCTTGTGAGGGTGCCTTGCAGGGGAGAGCGTGGCTGGCAAACAAATGCAGAAGGCACACATTATTTGCATAAAAATATGGTAAATATTCTTCTGGTGAGGCTTTAAAAGGAAATGATACACATGTTATTGGATACTGGAGGATGGGTGATCTTTTTCATAAGGTGGCAAAGAACTTGTTTGCATTATGTCTAAATGTGTTGTGGGAGGTAGAACTTTTCAGTGATGAACTTGGATATTTGGCTGAGATGATTTCTAAGAAAAATCTTGAAAACGCAGCATGATTTCTCTTTGTTGCTTCCAGAAAAATGCTGGAGGAAAGGGATAGATTTAAAGATGAATAGTGCAGAATGAAACCAGAACCTAAAGATTCGGGAAATTCTGTTGTGCAAACTAAGAAAGCAGGTCCTGTGAGTTTCACTGAGGGTATGGCTTAGACTGAAAGGGACAGAGACAGGATGAAATGAAGGAAAGCTTGCTTCCTGGAATTCTACAGTCAGGAGATGGGCCAATGGAGCTACTTGGCTGTGAACATCTGTAGTCCTCCAAGAAAAGAAAGTCATCATACCAGGAGCAGTTTGGAGATCAGCAGATTGTTAGAAGGAGCACAGAGCAGGGGAGAGGCAAGGCTGCTACTTCCTCGGTTTCAAAGAATGGAGCCACCACTTCCTAGGTCTCAAAGGGTAGAACCCATCCGCTAAGTGTCAAAGAGTTGGGTCACTACCACCTCAGTTCCGGAGGGTGGAGCTGACTTTCAGATGGGTCAGGAAAATAGGGCAACCTCCCAAAACTGAGGGGGGGAGACTGCCATGTTAGTGGACCAGGAGAACAGAACTGTCTGGGGCTGTGAGGGAAAGGTCACCACTCAGGTGGATGAGGAAAATGGGGCTACCCAAAGTGAAAGTAGCAGGATTGCCATCCCAGTGGGTCTGGAAGGCAGGGCTGATGCCCAGGGCCAAGGGATGGCCCCCAGAATTCGGAGTGTGTGACCAATGCCCAGAGTCTGATGGGTGGAGCTATTGCCCAGATGTGCATGGAAATTAGAGGATTATTTTCAAACTTCAAGAGTCAATGAAATTTGTCCTGCTGAAAATTTGAACTTGCTTGCTACCTGTGACCCCTTCTTTTCCTCCAGTTTCTCTCTTTTGGAATGCAAACGTCTACCTTGTGCCTGTTCCACCCTTGTACTTTGGAAGCAGATAGCTTATATTCTAGGCTTCACAGGTTCACAGACGGAAAGGAATTTTGGATGGTACACACCCAGAGTCTCATCCATACTTGGTTTAGATGATTCAGAAGATGAGATTTTGCACTTGATTTGGAGTTGATGATGGAAAGGGGTTACAACTTTTGGGAAGATGTAATACCAAACTAAACCCGTTTTTGTCGAGTCGATTCTGACTCATAGCAACCTTACAGGACAGAGTAGAACTGCCAGGGTTTCCAAGGAGCCACTCATGGATTTGAACTGCTGACCTTTTGGTTAGCAACCAAGTTCTTAATCATTACGCCTTTTGCGCATGGGAAGGATGTAAATTTTGGAGGGCCAAAAGGTGGAATGTTATTAATTAAATTGTAACCCCCTAAAATATATGTCAGAATCCTAACTCCTACCCTTGTGGATGTAATTCTGTTTGGAAATAGAGTTTTTTTCATTATGTTAATTATATTATACCAAGTAGGATGAGTTCTAAATCTAATCACTTCTGAGTTATAAAAAGTGCAGATTAGACACAGAGATACACACACCCCAGGGAAGACAGATGCCATGTAAGGATTGACAAGGAATACCTGGGCTACTAACAAGGAAGAAATTAACACCGTTGAGACCCTGATTTTGACTCTTAGCTTCCAGAACTGTGAAAAAATAAATTTCTGTTTTTAAAAGCCATCCACGTATGGTATTTCTGTTATAGCTGGCGGCACAGTGGTTAAGTACTCGACTGCTAACTAAATGGTTGACAGTTCTAATCCACTAACCGCTCAGTAGGAGAAAGATGGGGCAGTCTGCTTCCATGAAGATTTACAGCCTTGGAAACCCTATGGAGCTATTCTATAGGTCACTGTGAGTTAAATCAACTCAATAGCAATTGGTACGGGAGGAACCTAAGATACTAGGCTAGGTGATCTCCAGGACTAAAACATCTTATGACTTCATTGTCCTATAATGGGTTTATTTGTTTGTTTTGTAATTTTGTATTAGGGACCCTTTTGAGACTCTGAATAAAGTTCTGGACAATCACCTCAGAAAAATGCACATATACTCTATATCACTCAGAAATGTGTTGAGCTGCAAATAACAGAACACCCAATTACGCTAGCTTAAACAGTGTGAGTTTATTTTGCTCCCATTACAAGAAGTTTGAAGGTAGAAAGTTGCTGGCATTGGTTCAGGGGCTTGACTACATCAAGGCTAGCATCTCTGAAATTTTCCTGGCCTTTCTCTCATACTGTTACCTCTTGGTTATAAAATGGTTGAAATAAGTGGGAATCGAGGCAATGGCCAAAGCTCCCTTTCATCAGGAAGGCAAAAGCTTTTCCAGAACCATCCTTGCCTCCTCCCCATCGGTATTCCTCCACTTATGTTTCAAAAGAATGCCATGTCACCTCAGTGGCAAGGAAGTCTGGCAGAGACTTGTTAACTTTTGTATGCAATTTTAGGGAATTTGCAAACATTCCAAAGTCCATCATGGTACCCAGGTTCAGAATCCCTGATTTAAAAAGTGGGTCCCACTATCTGTGAACCTTTTTCAGTTTTCAGATCCTCACTCTCCAGAGAAAAACTGGTATCTGAACAGATTTCTAATACTCCGGTTTGAAGAAGGAAGTTGTTCAAAGGCCATAGAATCAAACGAGATAATGTATTATGAAAGTGTTTTACAAAGTGTCATGTTCTGCTTAATGTGAAGGCATATTCTATTGTGATTATTTTTGTTGTTGTTGCCTATGGGTCACACTTCTTGATTGCCACTTGTACAGTGAGCGTGTATATGTGTGTATGTACATAAAAGTATAAAATAAAAGTAGGACAAAGGAAAAGAACACACAGAAAATATATTTTTATTAGGTTCCAG